CTTTTCTTTTCTTTCTTTTTTGTCTTCACTTTTTTTTTTTTTTTAAATATGATCTAGATTTCTCTTATTTCTAATCATATTATTAATTTTTATTTCGATATTTTAATATTAATTAACGAGAATGGGTTCTTGAATTTGATGGGGCAATCCCATCTAGACTTTTACATATATCTGAATGTAAATTAAGCATTCTTATTTCATCAAGAGTTAGAAAGTAGGATAAAATGAAGATAAAATTGATGCCTTAATCATTCGGGTTACATTGCTATATACACCATGAAAGAAGGATCTAGAATTATTCTATTTAACAGACATAAAACTAACACTACAGCTGGCCAGTAGAATTGATTCCATTCTCCTGAAAATAAGGAACAACAATGTGATGGTGACTGCTACTTCAAACCGTAGCCGAGGGTGGTGAGCTGAGAGTGGTGAATTCTAACTCCCCCTTTCAAGGTGGAGTGTGATCAATCACTCCAAGCTTGTCCCTAAGAAGTTGAAACCTTGAATGTGATATAAGCTTAGTTAATACATCAGCTGTCTGATTAGAGGAAAGAATATAATTAATCTTCAACTGATTATCCAACACTTTATCTCTTACAAAATGCACATCTAGCTCAATGTGTTTTGTACGAGCATGGTATATGGGTTTTGATGCGAGAGCACTTGCACTTAGGTTATCACACCATATATTAGGAATTGCCTTCTGTGGTATCTCCAGCTCTTCAAGCAAAGATTGAATCCAAGTTATTTCTACTGCACAATGGGCTGAAGCTCTGTATTCGGCTTCTGTACTGGACCTAGCAACTACATGCTATTTCTTCGAGGACCATGACACCAAATTGTCTCCTAGATACACACAATAACCAGCAGTTGACCTTCTATCATCTGGACAAGAGCCCCAATCTGAATCTACAAATGCCGTGATATCAAGATTGTCATTCCTCTGAATGGTTAATTCGAAAACTCTTTTTAGTGCCTTCCAATGTGAATCTGTTGGTGCCTGGAGAAACTGGCTCAGTCTATTTACGGCAAATGTTAAGTCAGGTTTAGTATGAATAAGATATTGAAGACCACCTACTGCACTTCTAAATGAGGTAGGATCCTTTAATGCTTGTCCTTGAGTCTTGGAGATTAATTTACTTGCATCCATAGGAGTTTGGCTGGGCTTTAGCTTTGCATAATCAAACCCCTTTAGTAAATCAATAGCGTATCTGGTTTGCTTTAGATAAAAACCAGCATCATCTCTTTCAACCTCAATTCCCAGGAATTGTTTCAGATTTCCCATATCCTTGAGTGCAAAACTGAAGTTTAATTTATCTATAAACTCTTGTAATTGCTGACTATTATTACCTGTGATCACGATATCATCCACGTATATCAAGGCAAACAATATATCAGCTTCTTTTGTCAGGAAGAATAAGGAATTGTCGGCCTTTGATTGTCTAAAATCCCATTCCAGCAGAGTGTGTTTTAGTTTATCATTCTAGGCTCTAGGTGCTTGCCTAAGTCCATATAAAGCCTTCTTAAGTTTGCAGACATATCCAGGGTATTTTTTATTGACAAAACCTTGTGGTTGATTCATATAAACCTCCACAGTCAAGCTCTCATTCAAGAAGGCATTATTAATGTC